TTTTTTTCAAAACATTCCTTTATTTTTTATTTTCGACACAAGTTGCTTGTACTATTGATTTATTCTTTGGAGATTTTATGAAAAAGTCCAGGATGTTAATGGGTGGAACTTATTCCTGGTTGTTACGAAGTATAGTAGTATAATTACCCCACATAATTTTGAAAAAGTTTATTTTTTTGGTACAAGTCAGTTAACTTGCATGATTCCATCTTTAAAGAGTTGATGAGAAAGCCCAGGACTGCAAAAGGGCGGCACTAGTCCTGGTTATAACAAAGCAAAGTAGTATAATCACTCTTCGTAAATTCAGAAAGTTGGAAGTTTCATTATTCAGGATGCTGAGAATACGATGACAAGTAGTGAAATCCGTCCCTTGTTTGCTTGCCCCTATATGTGTGTGCAATAGAGTTGGAATTGACGAGACATCTTGTCGGTTAGGTGTTGAGGAGTCGGTTTTGATTTTATGTATGCTCTGGGGAACTGGGAAATATGTCATGACAAAATTTATTATGTCAAAGAAAATTTCAAAAAAATTTTGTATATATTTTGTATATTTTCACGTACAAACAGTGTTTAGGATAGTCAGCACATTATATATAAATTATATATATAATACTTATATTAGATTAACACAATTTTGATGAAAATTAATCTAATAAACAGTTTTTTTTGAAAGTAAAATCAACATTACTCGCAGCACCAAGTGGTAATCAACTGATAATATGTTCATCCATTTATACCACTTACAGTACACAAGAGATTAATGGCAGGAGTATTATAAATGTTGGTTATTAACTTTAAATTTTATTTATGCATGGTCTTGGTATTATTTATTTACTGAGGTGATGCAATTGTTTGTTATATCAAATTCATTGCATAAATAATGTAATGGGCATAATATAACATTGGAGACAAATATGTTCACATTCAAGGAAAAGATTAAATAAAAACAAAAAGATAAGAATGTTTATTTATTTTGAAAGAGAAAAATATAATGATTTTAATTATACTTATAAATATTAAAATATAAAGGTTACTTATTCATAACAGTATATGGTATAGAAGACAAAGGACTGCCAGAACAATCAATTG